ACAGGAACATTCCCAACATCAAAGCTTACATCCTGTAAGTTATTAGCTATTGATACCAATAGATAATAAATCCCCCCCTCCAAATCATTTCAAGTTCGTTTCTGCCGCTTGGCAGCCATGTAGGGTGTCCGCTGTAAATATAACACCTGGTTAATTCAGGGGGATATTTGACTCTGTTGTTTAAAAAATCCCATTTCCTACCTTTTATATTTTGGGAATGTTACAGGAAACAAAAATATTTTTATGCCTTATTATACTCTTAGTTAAGCCAAGTGTTACACATATTAACATAACTTTCCTTAGTTTAAACAAATTCTCTAAAAAATGATAAAGGGTAATATTCTTTTTATTAATTTTTTTTCACGAAGTACATTTATGAATTCATTTAGAGCTTTAGTAAGGTTTCAGAAGGAAACACTATCATTTAATCAAAGAGTGATAATCCATACAAATGTACATTACTAATACGCATCCATTGACCAAAAAGTTTATAGAAAGTAAAATCCTGGAATATATCTGAGATTGGTAAGTAATTACTTTAAAGATACCATGGTTATACATATACATTGTAACAGTATGTAGATTGCATTTCATATATTTCCATTTATAAATCAGTATGTTATGTTTATTTCTGAACAATATCGTTTTACCTACTACAGAATGGCAAGATTACAACTTAAGTATATAACAAATGAGATTACCTCCAGTTCTTACATTCCATATATCAACTTCCCCTGTTTGTGTAGCAATATTCGTCTATTACCTTCTAATCATTTTTATGACTCCTGCCTGATTCAGCACATTGATGTAACATAATTAGTTTTTAAAAAGAGAGAGGCTACTGATATATAAGTTGGTGTCACTAGGCTTTTAATAATCTTGTTTGATACACAAGAGTAATGCTCTACGTTTGAATGATTTCTAAAACGAGGCAAGTTATTGAAAAATAACTTGATAAAACAAGTTTGAAGTCATCGTTTTTGAAGTCTTATGGTCGATACAACGATCCTGTCAGATAAAAATAACTTTAACCAGGTTCTTGTTATTTCTTTTCAATGTCAGGGAGCCAGGCTGTGTAGAAAAACGTTTAAAGGTGCATGGACGCAGATTTGAAGTTAATATTTTTCTGTAGAATATCACGATGTATTTATTTTAATAGCATTTCACACAAAAATATATTAAAAATTTAATTTCATTTTAAAGTTATTGAAACTTCAAATTTTTGGATGGGTTTGATTGACACATCCTTGCACTCTCACAAATTTCACGGAAAATATTAAAACTTTAATCCAGAACAATAATTATATTCTGAGTAGGAATGTTAGAAAGCAAAACCCCTTCACAAGTATCGTCATTCCGCGCTAAGTGTTGTGTACAGAGTTAAGTAAATTGACCACACCCGTGAAAGGTACACAGTTTCTGTAAACAGGACACAAGCTCTGTTATTGTTGATGTTTTCGATTCACCGGGTTATCCCCCGCTACTTTTCGATTCACCGGGTGCGTTCAATTGTTAAAGTCTGCTCACCACAACTGCACGGACTGAAGATATACTGTTTGTAACTTTCGAACATTTCTACTCTGAGTTTTCTGGATTATAGTTTTAATATTTTTCATTTATACACAACAAGATTGCCACTTTTCCTAAGTATTAAGAATAAAATCAAACCCGTCTTTAAAAAAATTAAAGTTTTAATACATTGTAACTTTTACGATGAAATAAGGCGAGGACAATCCCCCGCTCTGAGAAGACATTATTCAACCCTAAAAGTTATATTTTTCAAAATTATATTGTTTACATCATCTTTTACACATTTAATTCTGTATTTCATTGTTTTAATATTTTATTAATGATTTATTTTTAACTCATGCTTTTAAGATATGTGAAAACAAAAAAGAAAAAGCTTCACGCATGATTCGAACTCTCTCCATAGCGCAGAGTTAGGTCCAAGACCGACCGCTTTAACCACTACGCTACGAAGAATATGCATTAACGATGTCTGTCAGTGTGATTTAAATGAAAGGATTTGTTGAAGCGTACATTTTTTCAGAAATTTTCGATTTTCATATAGAATGGGTTCAGATTCCATTTTTTGGACGAATGAAATAGATTTCACATTTACGTTTCCATAATATAAGTGTTAACGAAAAATGGAGACTTAACCCATTCATGTTCAAAATTAATTTTTTATAGCTCTAGTAAACCCATTTTCCACTAAATATGCTTAACTGTCAACTTTGAAATAAAGATTATCAAATAATAAGTCGTTCAGTAAAATGAAATGATAAAATGTTTAGAAGATGACATTATTGAGAACATGATTTTAGAAAAATATAACTTTTCTGTGAATTTTGAAAATTCAGAAACATTTTGTCTCAGATCGGGGAATTGTCCACGCCTTATACGCCCTCTTTCTTTTTAATACATTTTTGTGTGAAATGCTATTAAAATATATAAGTCGTAATATTACATAGAAAATATTAACTTCAAATAAGTGTCCATGTACCTTTTAAGGGGGCCGACTATAGTTTCCATTGAGCAATATTTCGCGCATCATAGTAAAATGAAGCGTATTTACTGTTTTAATGCAATTTTTTTCGCTTAGTTATTAAGATTAAACAAAATTAAAAAATTATAGGTATAAAAATGTAATTAGAATTTGATATAACTGATTTTTTAACCGATTTTGCAATTGATAGGTAGGTTGACGTCGTTGCAGTGTGTTTTTGACGTTACCGGTAATCTGTAGCTCTTAAAGAAAGGGGTAATAAAAATATTATTAAAGAAAAAGTAATAAACATACACTATTGAAATTTAAAACATAGAAATTTGAGAATATCTCCAATATTTTTATTATGTTTTCATGTGAATCCATTATGCACGTCATAGTTTGTAATACTCTATAAAAATAGTAAAATTTGCTAATTTTTTGCGTTTTGAGATGCCCCCTCTAGTAAAAAGACGGTAGAATTTTGTGTTCCTTACATTTATTGTATAATATAGTATTACTCATCAAATATTATAGTTTGAACAAAATGTCTATTGTAGTATTTGTATAATTTGCTTTAAAGTGCTAAAAATTGGCATTTTCCTATATAATCCTATAGTAAATGTACCTGTATTTTGAGACGGTCACTCAAAAATACCTGGACGGTAGATTTCCCCCAAACTTTGCATGTACACTGAAGTGAATGTAAGTTATATATGATATAAAAATGAAGAGTTTCGCTATTGTAGTTTTCACACAATAAAACTATAGTCGGCCCCCTTAAAGATACCAATCTTTCCAATTTTTGTTTCAATTAATTTTCAAAAGAATAAAAGGAATCCCTTGATACAGCACTTCATGTAATTATAATACATGTACCATGTTTACTAACTGTTGTAAGTTTAAAGTTTTGTGTCATAAGTAAAATTATCAAATCTTGCTCGAAAATGGAAATGTATTGAACTTATCCACACAGCATTATATTCTGAAGAATATGCACGAGTGTTTTAGTACAACTATCTATGCTTGAATTTCTTAATTTTAAAGTTTAATGGATTTGGGTAGATACATTTTAGACTTTGATTTTTTCACGAAAATATGATAAATTATGAATTACTTTCTTATGTTAATTCAACAAAGACCAATCAAGCTTAAACTCCATTGAAACAATTCAAACTGGGGGTAGAGCAAACATCCATGCCCCTCTTAAAGCATCTAAGGTGGGATTAGGTGCCCTGGGGTAGTAAGCATCCGCTGACGATTGCTTACATGAGTCATGTGCTCCTTGTGATGATTGGACAATGGGAAAAGTTCACAGACAACCCAGCATGTAAACGATATTATAGATCTTCTCGATCTTCTTGCAGATCATGAAGCGAGTTCGGGAGATACTGAGAGAAGCCCTGTGTGGTAAAATGACCACCTCTATTTTGATGTCCTACAAAACTGACAGTGATGGGTCAGTGTTTTATGACAACTTTCTCGGCGATGGGGATAGATCACTTTTTATCAATAAAACAATTGTAAGTAAAAGCAAAATGCTATCGGCAGATTGTTTTGACTTATTGTATCTTACTGAAGAATCATACTGCAAATGTCATTATACTTTATTGTACAGAAAAGAGGTGAGGACAGAATATTCACAACTTCTATGGCAATCAACGCATTATTAACAACATGGACTTCCTATGATATTGCAAGAAAGAGGCTGATATGGGTAAAAGGTACTATGATTTCTTATTTAATCTGTTATTAGTTAGATTTTCAAGTCTCTAAAAAAGACAAAAAAGTTTACTTACCTCTCGATTTTTAGGCAGAAGAAAAGTAAGGACATTTCTATACAAATTAAAGTATTTCTGATTCATTTCAATGTAAAAAGAAACAAAGACGCACAGTTTAACATAGTTTAATTAATATTCAAATTTTCAACCAAAGTAGTTGATGTGGTGAAGAGAGCTGTACAATGGATATGTAGAAATGTCCTGTCAGGGAAGTATCGTCCTTGGAATGCGTTCTTCTCAGGTTCAGTGAAAAGTTTTGTAAGTGTTATTATTATTTTTTTTTTTTTACAATTTATTTTATTTTTTTTCGAAAATATTTTTTTAACATTTTAGCACTTAAGCTAAAATGTAAATTTCAGATATCTTGTTTTATAATATTCTATTTGCTTAGAAGTCATTTTATGACCCTGCCTATTTTTGCAGAATTCCATGCCATGGTGGTACCCTTCTAACCGCAAGGAGTACCTAAATGGAACCTCTATAGCAGACGACACCCACATTCCTAGTGATGCCACAATTATAGCCATGCAGGGAGTGAAGTCCCCAGAATGGTACAATACTCAGCTCAACAGAAAACATTTTGGATTCAATGTTCCCTTGGTATTTCATGGATACAACGCAGAGAAAGGGCCTTTTCCCTTTTGGAGTTCAGAACCATACACATATGTTTCAGCCATGTTATCATTGGTTAAATACAAAAATGTGATGACTGAGCCATAATACTGTTGATTCTTTTATACGTTTTTGTGCCATAAATTTTTTTTTTAAATGATAAATGCCGAAGTGTATTGTATTTGCCTCAGCATTACATTCCATTGTTGCTCAAAGAAGATTAGGCAGATCTGTCTTTGTTTTACTTTCCTATACATTTGCATTCTTATATCATTAGTAATTGTGAAACATTATGTGTTTTTACAAGATATCCCGCTGATCATTTTTTGAATATCCTACAGAATGACTGAATCTTTAAAACTTGCAAGCACTAATATTTTTGTCTATGCAGTTTTATACCTCAAGATTTTGTGAATTGGTAAGTGTTGTTATATGATAAGCAAACATAGATTTTCATTTATTGAGGAAAAATCATTTTTGATCTGGACAAATGCTTCATACAGTATTAAAATTTTAAGTCTTAATAATATTGGAGGACACTTTTCTGATTTCGTTGTAGTTGAAAACATTATTACTAGAAGGTAAGTACAGTGTATATACATTACATGACTGTCTATGTGCTTTTACTAACAAACTACATCTTTATGTAACTTAAAGGTTTTATTTTACTAGAAGTGTATGTTTAAAGTATGTTCTTATTGTATATGAAAGTCATTGTATTTTATCTCGTTTCAAAGGAGTAAATAACAGTGTAATGTTTTGTCATTCAACCCTTGTAAATACAATTTATTTACTCGTACCTGTATATATTGTAATTTCATGTAAACTTTAAGCAGCGAAACAGAAAATATATGTTATATTATTGTTTTAAATATCTCTTATTCTGTTTTTTTTTCATCTGCTTATTTTCTTGTTGAAAACTATATATTTATTTTAAGAGGCAGAAAATATAGTTTTATCTTATTCCTGAATATGTATTTCTTCCTGAATATGTAATTCACATTCTATAGACTATATGTAATAGATATTCACACTTGTCTGATCAAGTATTTGGAAATTAAGGTGAACTGGTAAATCATGTAATCTTTGATAATCATTAAACTTATCCCTCCCGGTGAATGTGTTGTCATCTGTGCGTGATTTTATTTTTAATTATCAGCACTTTAAGATATGTATTTGACTCACCATTCACAAAAAAGAAAAAAAAACTGTTATTATTGTTGAAATGTATCTATTTGGAACGTTAGTGTTCTTTTCTAAGGATATTGCATTTTGTAGGATTTTTCCCCTAACAAAAACGAAGTTATATGAAAAGAAATTGTGATGATTTCTTAATATGTAGATCGACGATTGTTACGATCGATAGTTCATTCGAAAGAGGGTTTGCTGCGTTGATTCGAACCTTTGCTCGACTGAAATGTCTCTAAAGATAGGTAAGGTAGCAACTGTCCTTTGCCAAGCCCTCAGCACTTTAGAGTGAAAGTTCCAGGTCTTTTGGATGAAAACGTTCGAGGCCCCGGTATTCTTTGTCTTGATCAAGAACCCCTACTGCCCTTTGGTCTTAAGTGCAAAGTAAATGCCTAATTTGAAGCTCTCCATTGAAAGTGATGGCGTATCAAAAGGGATGTAAAAAACATACAATCAATCATCTTAACGCACACTGATGCAAAAACTTGTAAAGCTCTATTATAAGTAATAACAAGTTTCCTACAATTCTTTGCAACTACGAAACTTCTTACTAGTATAAAGCATGATCATAAAATGTTGCTTTTTACTATTGAAAGAAAGGGAATTTAAGGTAGGATTCTTCTCATATTTCTAATATTTAAAACTTAATGAAATTTTCACACAATCAAGAAGACAACATCAGTAAGTGATAGTATCAGTGAAATTGAATTTGACCGTTTAATATTAGAGGCAAGGTCAGGTCAAGGTCATTATCTTTTTTCTTGACATTAAGAATGAAAAATAACTGTTGTCAATCATGTGATACCTACTTCTATTTCAAAAGTTTAATGATTGTTCTTTTTGCATAAAAAACATATTACTATATCAGGTCTATAGCATGATATTATCAAATTTACAAAACTGGATATTGGCTATTCCGAATTTTCTCTGTTTTTCTTAATTTTTTAGGATATATTAGTTAGTTTCAGATGCTTCCTATATTTAACTTTTTCTTATTTTCACATATAATAAAGTAGTCTTATATTAATGTACAAAATGATACAAAAACAAAAAGTTTTGATCGTTTACTAAGACAGAAAAAATACTTTTTATGGATTTTTGGCTCAAATCTGCTCTTTGATAGGAAGCGTTTAAAAGCTAACAAAGTTCTAGTTTGTTTGGAAAATCATATTTATTTGATATATTTTGAAAGTTTAGTCTCTAATTATTAATATAACTTACATTTGAAAATTTCTCCAAGTCTTCGATTATGTAAAAAATTATAACTAAATTCATTGTTCTATTATAATTTTGAGAGACAGAAAAGAAGATATTTTCATACGCCACCATTCCGCCAAAAATATAGTCCCTGCTAGTTTTCAAACGCAGTTTACCATTTCTATTTAAAGTTGTACAATTGTCATGAGGAAAGAAAAATATGGTCTTTTAAATTCCTTAAACCTCAATATATAAGACATATAAGCAAATATACTTTGAATGATTCATCTAGTCAGAAAGAAGAATCCTACCTTAATTGAGCAAAGAGAAACTTAACTGTTTTCCCTGTCTACGACTTTTTGGGACAACCCTCGTATGCCATCTTTTCTAACACTTCGATGCGATTCAATTGCTTCACTTCAAATAAGCATACGTATTTGAAATTTCTGTTCACTTGAAAAGCTTAAAATTTTGGGTTTTTTTATTGTCCATTTGATGATTAGTTCAAACAAGCCACAAGTTGCCACTGCAAGACTGCAGATTAAGAACTGTACTCTTTACTTGTGTCTATTGAGAATTGGGTTTTTTTTTTTAGCTCAACTGGATCTACTGCCACACAGTACCCTTTCCTCCAATAAATTTCCGCGTCAATGGCGGAATTAAAACCGCTTTGCAAATAATTTATAAACCTCGCCACTGAATTGGAGTGGTTATAATTAATTTTTCACTAAGTTAATAGTCGGTGACAAGCACTTTGAAAAATCATCGTCAAAAGATTCCAAATCTAAAAAATTTAGAAAAAATAATTAACTTATGGACGCAAATTTTCTTTACAAGGAAAATAATTTTACTTTTAATTTTTATTATGCGCCCGGATCGATAGATCCTGGCGTATATTGTTTTTGTCCTGCCTGTTTATCTGTTTGTCTGTTTATCTGTTTGTCTGTCTGTCTGTTGTCAACTTTAACCTTCGCCATAACTTTTGAAATGGGAGATAGAGACTACATTTTTGGTATGCATACTCCATTTATTAAGTTCTTTCAAATGACGCCAAGGTCAATGAACTTTTACTTGACTGTGACTATATGCGAAAAATAGCTTTTTTGTTAACTTTCGCCATAACTATTGAACCATGAGAGATATAGACTTTATATTTGGTATGCATACTCCACTTATTAAGTTCTTTCAAATGACACTAAGGTCAATGACCTTGAGACCTTGACTGTGACGTATATTCTAAAAATAGCTTTTTCGAACTTTGTTGCCACGGGCGCATAGTGTTTCACAAACACATCTTGTTTCGATCTTCATTACAACCATCAAGGGTTGTGTCTGCCAAGTATTTTGTTTTCCTTCAAAACAAACTTGTTCTCCAAGGAAACGAAACGTTTCTTTTGACATTTATCAAAGCTAGAGAGAGGTACATGTATATCGCTAGGTATTTGCCAGTTCTAGTGGAAGAAAGGGAAGTTTGAGAACAAAAATTGAGGAACAGCAATAATCTTTCAAGGGCGGAGAGATGGTATGTCCAAATCAAGACTGTACAGGTATACAATTTTACATGATAATATCTTGACTGTTACGCAGTAGATAAGGATATCTGCAAGGACTAAGTCTTACACTTAGCAAGGAACCCTTGTCATGTCAAATATGTTAATCAATTTGAAAATTTTTATTTTGTGGTACTTCATACAGGCTGCACGATTTGAAAGGGAAGAAAAAAGGATTCTTCTAAACGATCCAGGTTTAGTTGAACAAAGGTTGAATCATCTTGAGCAAGAGGTGCAGACACTGAAGATTGAAAACCAAAAGCTAAAATCTTCACAAACAGGTAAAAGGAAAGAAAGAGGGCGTATAAGGCGTGGACAATTCCCCGCTCTGAGACAATATGTTTCTCAATTTTTAAAATTAACGGAAAATTTATATTTTTCTTAAATCATGTTCTCAGTAATGTCATCTTCAAAACATTATTTTTTTTATTTTACTGAACGACTTATCATTTGACAATCTTTTTTCAAAGTTGACAGTAAGTTAAGCATATTTAGTGGACAAGGGTTTACTAGAGCCATAAAAAATGAATTTTGAACATGAATGGGTAAGTCTCCATTTTTCGTTAACGCTTAAATGATAGAAACGTAAATGTGAAATCTATTTCATTTGTCCAAAAAATGGAATCTGAACCATTCTATATGAAAATCGAACTTTTCTGAAGAAAATGCACGCTTCAACAAACCCGTTTATTTAAATCACACTTACAGACATTGATAACGCATGGTGGTTACATGTAACGCGGTCGGTCTTGTGCCAAACCCTACTCTATGGAGAGAGTTCGAATCATACATGATGCTTTTTCTTTTTGTTTTCACATATCTTAAAAACATGAGTGAAAAAATAAATTATCAATAAAATAAAAAACAATGAAATACAGAATTGAATGTGTAAAAGAATATATAACCATATTATTAAAAAAAATATCGCTTTCATGAACTTTTAGAATTGAGAAGTGTCTTTTCTCAGAGGGGATTGACATCGCCTTATACGCCTCCATTCTTTGTTGAAAAATATACGGTACAATTTTAAATTTATTTTGATATTCATAATTTTTATGGCAAAATGTAAGATTTGCTTTATTTTGTCCTTGATATTCATAATGGTCATACTGAAATGCATGAAAATGACTTCCAAATGCATTCATTTTATATTATTATGCATATTAAATTTTACTTAATATAATCCATTGCACTTTACAGGAAGTAATGCTGTTTACACACGTTGAGGAAGAAAGGAATGCCCTTCTAATGTATCAGAGATAATATATTCCGGTAATCCAATTGTTCTACTTGTTTCAAAAAATAGTCAAGTTGTAAATAAAGAAATATACCATAATTGCTTTCTGCCAGTTTATGATTGACGATATATTTTCAGGATTTGCTGCAGGTGGATGGTGGAATGATAAAGGAAGTCCAACTTTCTTTGTCTTCCGCCAGATCCTATATCAAGTGGGAAATCAATAACAACAGGTTGCAACCATCTCTTTGGTGTGGAATATGAATCGGGATTCTGGGGACCCCATTCCCATAATGAAGATGCCCCTTGCGCAGTTTGCTCTAGCACTTCTGGGGCCCAAATGCTGATGATTCCCGGAAGAGACACTTGCTATCATGGATGGACAAAGCAATATGATGGCTATCTTGGAACCAACCGTCTTGATTACGCAGGAGCAACCGAGTACGTGTTTGTTGATCACAGTCCATCATATCTTAATGGAGGAGAGCGTGCCACGGATGGAGCTTTATTTCACCCCGTTACCTACCAGTGTGGCGCACTACAGTGTCCGCCATACACTAACAACGAAGTCGTCAATTGTGTTGTGTGTACAAAATAAAGTTATTAAAATATGATAATGAAAGTGTGAAAAAAACATGCAACAAAATTAAGAGTACTTTTTATAATCATATATATAATTGGCTTCTATTAAATTGATATAATATATATTTAATTGGCTTCTATTAAATTGATCTTGACTTAAGAAATAAAGATTCTAGAATGCATATCCACCCGGTGATTCTAAATTGATAATTTTTATTGCGACAAAAACAATAGTGTTATAGATAAAATATATAAATTATAAATTCTCTAAATTACTCTATCAGTAGAAAGGAAGTGCAATTGCATATAACACCTTAGTTCTATGATTTTTTAAAAGTCGGTTTGGTAAACTGTGGCTTGAAAATATTCCCATCAATTTTAAACTTTCTTTTGTCAGTCTCTGTAAAAAAAATAATATTGCACTCAGATGTAGCACATTCATTCGGACAATCCATAAAAATTTAAATTCAGAGAAAACCGTATCTACCTCGCACCTCTATATATTCTTCTCAGAAGAATCAATTATTTTAGGTACGCCCAATTTTTGGTACCAAGTCATAATGTCATGACCTTATCTGATGAAAGAATGATCAGTGCTGAATGAATTCAATTCTAGTTATAGTTTGACAGGACATTTGCTGCTGAATGAATAACATCATTTATTTTGATTTCCTACAAAACTGACGGTGATGCGTCAGTGTTTTACGACGACTTTTTCGGCGGTGGAGATAGATCACTTTTCATCAATAAGACAATTGTAAGTAAAAAGTCGTTTGAAGACTGTTTTGAAGTACTATATCGGACTGAAGGTACATTGTGAAAATGTAACAATTTATTGCACAGAAAATATTTTAGGACCAAATATTTACAACAGTTCTTTTATTACCTAACCTACTATATAAAATGTGATTAGGCATTTTGAACTGTTTCACGATTCATTTTATGTTTTTGCGTGATCATGAAACAGTCGAACTGTTGACCGGGCCACAGAATGAACTGTTGCCTGTTTAAAGCATCATCGTGATATTCAAGCGTTTTGATGATCACGACATCACTATTTACCTGCTATATATTTAACTAAATTGGAATAAAACACACAATCAATTTATTAAGTATTGATTAAAATTATTAAATATTAATCTAATCTTTACATTCTGTGTTCAGCTAATTAATAGACTCGTATGTGGATAAACAGTTGTTAAACCTCTTTATTGATTGTTTGTGTGTTTTTATTCCAATTTAGTTAATTATATATAGTAGGTTAGGTAATAAAACACTTATTTAATGACTACTCGGTGAAACAGTCAAACTATTGTCCCTCGGTAGTGGGGAAGACCTGGGAAACTGTTGCCGTCGGCCTTCAGCTTCTGGCAACAGTTTCCCAGGTATTCCCAACTACCTCGGTACAATAGTTTGACTGTTTACCTCGTAGTTATTAAATAAGTGTATACTTTATGATATCAACGCTTTATTAACAACATGGACTTCCTATGATATTTTAAGAAAAGGGCTATTCTGGGTAAAAGCATCCTCTCAAGCCATGGTTCGGAGTCCGCATATATACCTTTCTCATAGAATTGAAGAGGATCGTGCATTTTGGCCGTGGTTTTGTAACGATAGGGTAAAAGCTATGATTTCTTTTTAGCCAGTCCTTAGTTGATTTAAGGGTCTTATAGGGGAAAAAAACTTTCCCACAATTTTGTGTCGTCAGTAGCAAAAATAAAAAATACTGAAATGATGTGCATATTGAATTATTTTCAATTCATTTTATACACACAGGAACAAATAAATAGTATTGATTTTGATTTTTCAGGAGTGCCAACTAAAGTAGTTGATGTGAAGAGGGCTGTACAATGGATATGTAGAAATGTCCTGTCCGGGAAGTATCGGCCTTGGGATGCTTGTTTCGATTCTCTGATTTAGTGAAAAGCTTTGAAAGAGTTACAAGTATTTGTCCATTTTCCTGCAAAAAAATTTTTTTAAAAAAAAGGAAATTTAAAAAAGAGCGAAAAGAAACAAAAACAAATGTAACAAAACGATTTTTTTTATCAAGCAATATCTGATAAATCTAGTTTGATAACCGAAAGTGCAAAACTATTTATGCAGAATTCCAAGTCATGGTGGTATCCTCCAAACAGTAAAAATACCTGAATGGAACCTTTTCAGAATTTCAGATGACATCCACATTCCCAGTGGTGCCACAATTATAGCCATGCAGAGGGTGAAGTCAACAGAATGGTACGAGGCTCAGCTTAAGAAAAAGCATTCTGGATAAAATGTTCCCATGGTATTACATTTGTAAATAAATATAATGCGGAAAAAGGTCCTTTTTCCTTTTGGAGTTCAGAAATTTACACATGTTTCAGTTATGTTATCATTCGTCAAATACAAAAGTGTGATGATCGAGTCTTTTATATGTTTTTGTGCCATATAATTTTTTTTTTGTATAACAAAAGCCATACTTATAAATTCCGATGATAATATTATTTTTGCCTTTAGTATTACATTTCAATGCTGCTCAAAGAATATTAAACAATCTGTATTTCTTTTACTTTCTTTTATGTCATTAACATCCCTTAACATAGATATTTGTGAAGCATTACGTTAATTGTTTTTGCTTGATTCATGTAAACTGTATACAGGGTTATTTTCGCCCCGTGTTATTTTCGCCCTTTCACATTCGGAAACAAGTTTGCCCCATTTAAATTCGCTCAGAAAGATTTTTGCTTAAGATATTAAACTGTTTACTTTTAAATCGCCCCGTTTTAAATTCGCCCACTTCCAATGAGGGCGAAAGGGGCGAAAATAAAACGGGGGCGAAAATTTCCCTGTATACAGTATTGCGAGTGCTGAACTGTTTTTTGAATTTCCTCCAGACTAAATGACATAATTAACTTACAAGCAACTACTGTTTTATTTATGCATTTTTTAAGTGTTTAATTCATCAATAAAGATACAAGATGTATTTTTTCAGATAATGGGAAACCTAGGCTTTTCAAGACATCAGTAGTTTTGTACATTATGGTAACATGCCTTATTGCAAAAACAGTCTTATGGATAAAATTCCATTTCATTCCCCATATTACTAGAAGTTTACTAGTACTTTGTGAACCTTTGTTTAAGAATGAATGTCTCTGGGTCTTTTATTGCATTCTAAAAAGTTCAAAAATATAGTTTTTTTTCCATGTAGCTCTTTTACTTACTTGCTTATCCACTCCGTCAGAATTTGTCAACTTCATCGATCGATTTCACATACATGCAATGTTTTTAATTTGAAAAGAAAATTACAAGCAACGCTGTCCGATGTTAATAATGTTCACTCAATACAACCGGCTAACTTTCATAATTTTTTCTGAACCATGGAAAATTTGTGTCAGACTAAAATACGATATGCGTTAAACTTTGCATACCAGGGGTATTATTAAAAGTAAATCAATGACTGTTAATAAATAAATTACCTTATTAAACAGGATAATTATTAAGATTACTGAGTTATAGATTTGTCTTTTGTGACATCTCAAAAGCGTTTGATAGAGTATGGCATAAAGGTATCCTTTATAAACTAAAACATTATGGTATATTTGAACAAATTGTTAATTGGATTGAAAACTACTTGTCTGATAGAACTCAAAAAGTAGTTCTTGATGGCTCTTCAACTACTAGAGCTACCAATTCAGGTGTCCCTCAAGGGTCAGTCCTTGGTCCCTCTTTATTCTAATTGTATATTAATGACATATCTGAAAAAAGTATCAAGTCCTGTAAGGCTTTTTGCAGATGATATCTCTCTTTATGTCATAGTTGATGATGATATTCTTAATATAAATATATTCTAATATATGGGCAGTAGAATTCAATTCTTGTAAAACAGTCAACCTAGATTTTAGCAGGAAAAATATTTGCCATCCAAAAATTAAGTTTGGGGAAGATGGGCCCACTATCAAAAATGTTGAAACACATACTCATTTAGGAATAAAATTTCAACAGGATGGTAATTGGAGATCCCACATACTTGATATTCATGCTAAAGCCTGTAATCGTTTAAATATCGTAAGAATGTTAAAAGCACACACTTAAGAGGGATGCTTTGATAAAAATATATTTTGCTTTTATTCGTCCTGTTCTTGAATATTCAGATATAGTATGAGAAATATAAATTAACAGAAAATATTACAGTGTCAAAGCAGTGTATTCACAATTTTTGTTTTTATGACGTCACAAACTAGTCCGATTTTATATCCTTTATCAGAAAGAGGACAAAATGGACAAAATTTCAACAATTTTAGCTTTACAATTTATAGAGCGCAAGTTTGTTCAGGAACAATATTGACATATTTCATTGATACTATCATTCTACACATGATCTCAAAATATTGATCCTGAACACACATGCGCTCGGTGACTTTTACTCAAAATATCGACGAAAAATGTACATTTTTCTGTAAAATTCATACAAAACTGAAATTTACGTCATGTTTGTGACGTCATTACGTAAATATGGCGTCATTACTTATGAAAATATTCAGTGCTTTGAAGTCAGCATATACTCCCCTGTTTAAGAACTTAATTAAATATATCTCCATCAAAGTTTGATTTGGGGGGCAAATATTGGTTATTACCGAATAAAGTTCTTTATTATGCTATTATTTCTGAACCCTTGACCTTGACGATTTCTGAACCCTTGACCAAAATTTATTATGCTATTATTTCTGAACCCTTGACCTTGACGATTGACCTTATTTTAAAAAAATCACGTCAGCGATAATTTTTAAATGACATATGATAGGGCGTTCATATTTCACACAATATGTCATAAAAAATGACATCTCACCTACAAAGACACCGAAAGCGGGGGACCATAGTTTTTTTTAAATTTGCTTGTTTATTTTAGAACCAGGTATACGATTGACTTTTTAATCATCTTAATTGTATATCGTTCAATTTTCAAACTAATGGTTAAAAAGAGTATTATTTTAGCCCCCGCTCATATGAGGAGGTATACTGTTTAACCCTTGCGTGCCTGTCCGTCTCTCCGTCTGTCTAGCTGTGTGTCTGTCCGTAACAAATGTTTGGTCAACTACTGTCGCCCGCGTGGCGCAGTAGTTAGAGCGTCTGCTCTAGAGTCGCGAAGTAAGGAGTCAATCCTTACGTCGCGGGTTCGAATCCCACTGTGGGACGTGGAGACCGGTCCTTCGGATGAGACCGTATAAACCGAGGTCCCGTGTCGCAATAGGTGCTGGCACGAAAAAGATTCCTCCCTGCTCAATGGCCCTAAGTGTCGAGTATTGGACAAAATTTGCAACTCTCCATCGGCAAGTGGTGGCGTCTACATATGAGTGAACAATTCTCGAGAGGGACGTTAAACAATATACAATCAACCAATCAATCTTAGCAACTACTCATCGCGGATGCTTAAAATTTTAACCCAATCTTCCCTGAGACATGTTATATGATGTGATTCATTTTTGTTGAAATCCGATGTCAGCTTCCTGTTTGTCTGAGGGTCTGTCCGTTTCATACATGTTTCATATATAACAAATGTTCATCGCAGTTTTTTAAGCAACTACTCATCACAAATGCTTGAAATTATACCACAATCTCCTCTGAGGCATGCCATATGGTGGGATTCATTTTTGTTCAATCTTACGACAACTTCCTGTTTGTCCGTACGTCTGTCCGTTTCATACATAACAAATTTTCAGTTTTATCAGCAACTACTCATCGCGGATGCTAATTGAAACTTAAGTATATACTTTGTTGTGGTATGCAGTATAGTAGGAATTTTTTTTATATGAATCTGATGTCAACTTCCTATTTATCCGTGCATCAGTGGAACTAAACTTACGTTTATGAACATGATATGGTATCTACACATCAGAGCGGGGATATTACTAGTGAGCATTGGCTCACAGACTTCTTACTAATACTAGTAATATTTTCATTTAAAATTTTACATTAGAAAACAACACATATCACATTAACTTAATCATTCTTTTAGGATACGCAGCTGGTGGATGGTGGGATAACACAGGCGCTCCGTCAAACTACCTTTGCCTTCCAGAACATCCCGCCTCGAGTGGAAAAACATATTCCAGCTCTTATGTAAATTACATATATGGCGTGGAATACGAAACCGACTTTTGGAAAGTCCATTCACATGATGAAGATGCACCTTGCGCTGTATGTGCAAGTTTATCTGGATCAAAAATGATGATGATTCCGGGACGTAATAAGTGTTATTCAGGCTGGACAATGCAGTATCATGGATATCTCGGAGCATCACGTTATAATCATAAGCAAAACACGGAATATGTCTGCGTTGACCATGATCCCGATTTTTTAAATGGTGGTGAAAGGCAAACAGACGGTGCTCTGTTCTACCCTGTTCTTTTTCAGTGTGGTGCCTTACAGTGTCCACCATATGTCAACAATCAAGCTGTGGACTGCGTTGTCTGCACAAAATAATGATCATTTGATCATTTGAGAAAAATAAATTGATGTATGAAAAGTGAGGAAGGCTCGCTATAAAAGCTCTGGCCTTTTTAGCAAACTTAAAATTTATAAATACAATCATGTACTTTGCTATACATAAATGCATTTTTGGAAGTTGAAATCATTTGAAAAAGACGATAATATTTTATGTCCGATATTTACCCCAAAAGAAAAACTTTGAAGTAGAAATGATGTCTCAAATGGAAGCTCATGTAAAAGCTCTGTTTCAAAAATGCAAGTCAGATTCCAAACTCAAGGACGAGAGATAATAAAATAATCATACCCAAAGAAAGACCTTGTCACGTGGAAAACTCAGACTTTTTAAAAAGAAAGCCATAACACCAACTTTAACCATTTAAAACCTACGTCAAAAAGGTCAAAACTTTTGCGACCAAAAGGGATGGTCTTGTTACAGGCAACACCCATGAAATATGGAAGCCAAAGCACCAACAGTTACTGTCAGTTAGAAAGTGTGGCCAAGATTGAAGTTTTTCAAATGTATGTGAAACTTCAAATCGAATGTCTGAGAGTTAAAATTCTTGGTTTCCAATGGAAATTATTCTTACAAGGAATACACGTGTAAAAGAAATCATAGAAACATACATTTAAAAATTTGGCCAAATATTGGTTTTTGAACAGATCAAACTTCAAGTTCAACAGGATAAAAAAAAACTGTACTCAAAAGAACAAGATATGTTTGTGAAACACTGATGCCCCCGTATTGCAACATAGCGAAGGTTTAGCTTTCCAAAATGCAGATCAAGAATGTTGGAACCTAAAGTTAGGCCTTTTCACAAGAAATACAGATGTGAAATATAAAACCCTAGCACCACCTAGGCCTGTTCAAAGGTTATGACCAAGGTTAACGTTTTTAAAGGTAGGAGAAACCCCATGGTCAAGGTCAAAAGGTTCATGGTTTTTGGTTTCTAAAATACGGTCTTGTCTCAAATATTACATATGGGAAGTATGAAAGTGCTGACCAAGGTTAAAGTTTGTAAAAAGTAGGTCAAGGTCAAAGGGTCAAAGTTGTTTATATCCAATGAAAGGTCTTGTCACAAGGATTACATATGTAAGGTGTGAAAGCTCTAGCCCTTACTGTTCAAAAGCTATGGCCAAGATTAAAGTTTGTAAAAAGTAGGTCAAACTCCAAGGTCAAGGTCAAAGTTGTTGACATCAAATAAAAGTTCTTCTCACAAGGACTATATATGTGAAGTATGAAAGCCCTAGCCCTTACCGTTCAAAAGTTAAAGCCAAGGTTAATTTTTTTTTTCGTAAGTACGGAAATCTTTAAGGTCAAGTTCAAAGGTAAAATTGTTGGTTTCAAATGAAAAATCTTACCACAAAATTGATATTTGAAATTCATAGTTTCTACCGTTTTAAAAATAGGGCCAAAGTAAAAGTTTGTACTTTTTGTGTAAAAAAATGTGTCAAACTTCGAGGTCAAAGGGTCAAATCTCTTGGTATCCAATGAAGCGTCTTTTTACAAGAATTACGTATGTGAAGTATGAAAGCCCTAGTCCAAACCCTTCAAAAATATCATCAAGGTTGTATTTTAAAAGTAGGTCAAACTCCAAGGTCAAGGTCAAAGGGTAAAAATTCTTGGTATCCAATGAAGCGTCTTCTCAAAAGGATTACATATGTGAAATATGAAAGCCTTAGCCCTTACCATTCAAAAGGTTAAAGTTTTTTCATACGTATGGAAATCTCTAATGTCAAGGTCAAAATGTCAAAATTGTTGGTTCTCAATGAAAGGCCTTTCCACAAAGAATACATATATGAAGTATAACGTCCTGGTATTTACTGTTCAAAAGATATGGCCAAAGTAAAAGTTTGGAATTTTGTGTGTAAAATTGAGTAAAACTCCAAGGTCAAGGTCAAAAGGTCAAATTTGGTGGTACCCAAAGAAAGGTCTTGTCACAAGGAATACACATGTGAAATATGAAAGTCATAGCCCACTAAACCAAAGGTATGGGCAAGAATAAAGATTTTGCGGACAGACAGACAGAGAGTCAGACAGACGGACGGACGGACACGACAAAAATATATACCCCCGATATAAACTTCGTTTACGGGGGCATAAAAACATAGAAATATCTCTTTTCGAAATGTTAAATTATAAGCTGATTCAGATTTTAGATTTAATCCCTTTGACTTAAAATCGCTGTAATTTGCGTATATGTCAGGCTTGCATATAAACTACAGTAAAACTCAAGTAGTCTGGATTGGGTCTAAAAAAGGCAGCAATGATACGCTAAGTACAGATCATACATTAGAGTGGGGAAAAGTAACCTTTAAATTATTAGGCATTGACTTTGACACAGATCTAAAAAAGATATTTATGCTTAATTATGCATCAAAAATAAGTAATATAAAAAAATCAATACAACACTGGAACAAAAGAAATTTAACTCCTCTTGGTCGTCTAACGGTTCTAAAAACTCTTTTATTGCCAACATTAAATCATGTTTTTGCATCTCTCCCAAGTCCCTCTGAAACTCAAATGAAAGAATTAGAAAATCTATTTTATACATTTGTAATGGGAAGTAATTTTTTAAGACTAAAAAGAAAAATTTGTGTAATGAATTATAAAGAAGGGGGCTTTAAGATGACAAATTCCTTCCTACACAAAATTAATAAAACTGATAATAAAGCATGTACCTTCTGTAAAATAGAAACTGAAACAATAGAACATTTGTTGTGGGAATGTGAACATGTGCAATCTCTATTAGAGAATTTTGCAAACTACTGTTTCAATAAAATCAACACTACTATAACTTTTTCCTAAAAAGAATTTTTATTAGGCTCTGTGCAGAGAACTGATAAGCTTAAAAATATTATTGCCTTACAAATTAAACATTATATCTATCTATACAAATGTACAAACAGAAACATCTCCTTGGATGGGTTGATATCCTCTATTAAAACAATGTATGAATTACAAAAATATATATCTTATAAAAATAATGAAAAAGAATCTTTTGATGAAAGCTGGAGGCCATTGACTGATTTATTTTCTTAATCATCTCTCTCTCTCTTTCTCTGTCCCCTTCTCTCTCTCTCTCTCTGCAGTTCTCTCTCTCTCTCTGCAGTTCTCTCTCTCTCTCTTTCTCTCTCTGTCACTGTCTCTCTCTCTCAATGTTTTCCTTTTGTAAAAAAAAATTTTCAAAAAGCAATAAATTATATAAAAAAAAAATAAAATCGCTGTAATAAGAATATACTAGTTGAATTCGCGGGTTCCTGTTAAGAAATGCCCTTGGTATACTGTGAGACAGATTCAGATTGGGGAATTTTTTTCTTGCATCAAATCAGTTGTGTTATCTGGAAGAGCAAAAATTATTGAGGAAAGAGAAGTTACTCCCAGAACAAAGCAGCAGCTTGAATCTCATTATCGTCGATTGCAAATTAATGCTTTTTTTAAAAACGTAAGAGGGATGATCAGAAAGTTCGCAAACTTACTGAATCACTCATATTTAAAAGAAATAAAATTGCGTATAATCTTAATTATTTTTGACATCGTCCTGCCTATGCGCGAATCACATAATCCAGAATGTCGCGTGACATGCTCGGGATAGTGTTCACAACAGAAGTTGTGTCATGGTGCGGTACTTTTTATGCCCCGAGTTTCGAGGGTATATAGTTTTTGTCATGTCCGTCTGTTTGTCTGGCTATAGTTATAGCCAAGGTTAATATTTTTTCGTAAGTACGGAAAACTCCAAGGTCAAGGTCAAAGGTCAAAATTGTTTGTTTCAAATGAAAGGTCTTGCCACAAAAATGATATTTTAAATATGAAATTCATAGTATCTACCGTTCAAAAAATAGGGCCAAAGTTAAAGTTTGTGCTTTGTGTGTAAAAATGGGTCAAACTTCAAGGTTAAGGTCAAAGGGTCCAAATTCTTGGTATCCAATGAAGCGTCTTTTCACAAGGATTACGTTTGTTAAGTATGAAAGTCCTAGCCCTAACCGTTCAAAAGTCATGGCAAGGTAAATGTTTTTTCCCCAAGTATGGAAATCCCCAAGATCAAGGTCAAAAGATCAAAGTTGTAGACATTCAATTGAAGGTCTTTCTACAAAGAATACATATATGAAGTATTAAAGTACTGGTTTCTACTGTTCAAAAGATATGGTCAAAGTAAAAATTTGGAATATTTGTGTAAAAGTGGGTTAAACTCCAAGGTCAAGATCAAAAGGTCAATTATGGTGGTACCCAAAAAAGGTCTTTTCACAAGAAATACACATGTGAAATATGAAAGTCATAACTCCACTAAATCAAAGGTTATGGGCAAGGTTAAAGTTTTTGCGGACAAACATACAGACAGAGATAGAGACGGACAGACAAACAGACAGACAGACGGAAATGACAAAAAACTATATACCCTCGAAACTTCGTTTATGGGGGCATAAAAAGAACCGCACCATGACACAACTTCTTTTGTGAACACTATTCCAAGCATATCACGCGACATTCTGGATTATGTGATTCGCGCATAGGCAGGACGATGTCAAAAAATAATAAAGATTATACGTAATTTTATTTATTTTATATATGAGTGATTCAATAAGTTCGCGAACTTTATGATCATCCCTCTTACGTTTTTAAAAAACATTAATTTGCAATCTACGATAATGAGATTCATGCTGCTGCTGAAAAAAATTTCCCCAATCTGAATCTGTCTCACAGTATACCAAGGACATTTCTTAACAGGAACCCGCGAATTCAACTAGTATTTTCTTATTACAGCGATTTTAAGTCAAAGGGGATTAAATTTAAAATCTGAATCAACTTATAATTTAACATTTTGAAAAGAGATATTTCTATGTTTTTATGCCCCAGTAAAAGAAGTTTATATCGGGGGTATATATTTTTTGTCGTGTTCGTCCGTCTGTCTGTCTCTCTGTTTGTCTGTCCGCAAAATCTTTATTCTTGCCTATAACTTTTGATTTAGTGGAGCTATGACTTTCTTAGTTTACATGTGTATTCATTTTTTACAAGACCTTTCTTTGAGTATCACCAAATTTGATCT